CGGAAGTTCGACGCGTTCGTGGTACGTACTGACGCGCACGGTCACAAGTTTACACAAGTTTGTTTATGGTTTTGCGCGTTTTTCAAGTTGTTATTTGACAACTAAAACGCGTTTCAAGCTAAAAATCGGTTGTTTACGTGTATAAAGATTTTTCACATCCTTTCCAAAAGTTCAAAGATTTATATAATTATAAAATGGACAAAGGAAATATTTTTAAAGAGCTGGAGAAAGTGTTGAAGAAAAAGTTAATCCAGATATAATAAATGGAACGACTGATGTGTGCGCGTCGTCCAGCTACAAGTTTGCACACGAACTCGCGCGCGTTCGCGCATGTTGTTTTAATACGGAACTTGTCAACTGAGTGGAATCATGCAAGTTCTCTGGTGAATGTAACAATTTCGTGCGCGTTTATATCACTTTTTTACAAGTTTTCACGTAGTTAAATCCCCCTAGCTGGATTGTTGGTCTCCACTTTATGTTCTTCATCCAAAGACTGCAAATCTTGTTGTAAGTGATCAAGAAACGTATTCAAAGTCCAACTCCACGAAGCTAACAAACTAATATAATTAGCACTCATGTAACAAATAACAAAAACGGTATGTATTGAAAAATGAAAACCATAAAATAAGCACACGGCGTTTTCCAGTCAAATGGAATCCTTTGCAATAAATAGACGGAAGAATTCATTTTGTTTTGTTGACAGAAGAAAATCTAGATTTTTTTTTTATAAATCAGAAATATTCTGTTACTTGTGTAATTCTCACCAGATTTGATAGGGAAAGCTGAATGCGTTCGATCCCAAATCAGTAGTAAAGTAGAAAATGTAGCTCATTATAAAATTGGGCATCATTTGACCGGGAATGGTCACTTTTACCATTGCCAAATGAATTTTATTCGAACAACGTTCGATTTTCTCTTGTAATTTTTCGTATCTTTGCTTCGATTCGGGATTTTCAAGGCCTATTTGTTGCAACGGATATGTTGGAATTATATTACTATGTTGATTAGTTTTTCAAGTGCAATCTGTTTGGCAAATATACTCTATCACTTTCAATTTAAGCGTATCTATGCCCATTGCCTATCGCACATTTACTTGCATTTCAACTAAGACTTTATCAATAAATGAGCGATGTGATTTTGCTCTGAATATAGTGTAGTGTCCTTGCCTAACATACATACATATTACTTATTGCATCTGCTAAATTGAATAGTTTAAAGTCATATTCATAATAGTAAAAACTACAAATAGTAGCTTCCAAATTTGACTACAGTAAATATCTATGTGAGATTTTTGTCATTTTAATTTGACACTTCCATGTTATGTCCATTGTCCAGTGTTACAATTTTTCACATCCTCTGCTCAACAGCAACACTTTTTGCAGATGTGATCGTCGGGTAGTTCATTTCAGAAATTTGCGTAGCACCATCAACTGCGAATACCCAGCGTTGATAACCTAAACAGCGAACGAGTATATTAATTTAAAAAAAAACTCATTTAAATTGATGGCCGACAGTCCAAGAAAACTTACTTTTTTAAAAGATTCGCGTGTACACGAAAGTTCTCCAAATGCTTTAAGATGAACCTGATCTTGTGCAGCCATGATGAATATTGGCAGCATACGTTGTATTTCAGAGGGGAATGTGTACCAATCGCTCTGATAAATCGTTTCATTCAATCCATCATATCGATCAGTTAGATAACCACCAAATTCACAGAGAAAGAATACAAAACCGAATGACCAAAATGACAAAAATGATGGTTTCAGCAGTTTGACAAAGTTTTCTGTGTTACCGGACGACTGGAAAATGAAAAAAAAAATTAAAATTGAACTGTAGTAATAAATTAAGAAATCATCAATAAAAACCTAACTATTTCTATTTGAAGCAATAGAAGGTTGCTGCCAACGGACAGAAGGCTCCAAACGAAACATAGCAACATAACAAAACTGCAAGTATTAGAGAATTCATGGGCCAGTCTGAAAAATTAAACAATTATTGAATTTATGTTCAGTAAACATAAAAAATATGTTCACTCAACAGTTTCACTTCGGCATGAAATTCGACGAATTGACTGAATGTTCTCATGATTTCGCCAGAATCTTCCTTGGATTTTTTACAACATTCTTCAACTCCATCGTTCTTCATCTTTTCCACAGGACTTCCATTAGATTTTTTGTCGGGTTTTTCTTCAGCTTTCACTTCGCATTTGGTCAAAGCGCTAAATTCGTCTTTCAGCTCATTAGCAAAAGTTATCAATGTCCAAGAGCCTCCAGCCATTAATAACAAATAGCAAGCACAATTATGACAAACGTGCATCGCCAATACCACATCGAAAGAAAAAGCAAAGAAATATCCAAATGGAGTTCTCCAATCGAACGGCAGACTTGATGATCAAAAAATGATAACATAACGATGTTTTGTTTATGAACAAAATTAATCTTGACTAAGAGATAATTTCCAATGTTGTTCTCTCATTTTATTATGCTTCAACGTACCATAAATGAAATGGAAGGCTAAATGCATCGCTTCCCAGATCGGATGTAAAATAGAGATAATAGCTCTGGATGAAATTTGGTATCAAAACGACAGGAGCCGTTAATTTTACAAGAGCTGAATAAATAATTGCGGACCATTTTTCAATATTTCCGTTCTGATTCTCGTAAATTAGTCTCGACTCCGGATTCTCCATTCCTGTTTTAATGATTGTGACAAACCAATTTAAGTTTAATAAAAAAAGGTATCAAACCAATTGACCTACGTTTTTGAATGAGGGTTGTGAAGTCGTCAATCATTTTGAAAATTGAATTAATTTTTCGAATTGTAATGATGAAAAATACAAGTACGGTCAGTGTTGTTATTGACCCATAAAAAGATAGTGCAAATTCTTCGACTTTCGTGGCTTGGAATAGAAGAAATGATATTACAGAAATCGCTCCAAATAAAATTACAAATAAAGTTCGTATTCGTTTTAAATACGTTTTGATTGAGTGAGACTTTTGGAACGGTTGAACTGGTTCAATGCCCACAATTTCAAAACCAACTCGAGCAAAGTGAAATAATTTCATGACGTTAAAATAATCTACGGAATTCCGTGCTCAATTAATGAACTTTGATTCTATTTCTATTTTTCAGGAACAATTTTTATGTGTATTGATTTATTTAAGAGTTGTACACGGTTCTATTTGCACAGAATATTTGAAAATATCATCACTTTTATTACAAATAGTTTCTCTTGAATAAATCGTGAATAATATGGAATTAATCTCAATTGCTTTTTGCGAAAAAAGTCTGCCTAACTGGGAAAAGTCTTGTTCACCAATTAGTAATGCACTTGAATGAAGACACTAATAAACGCGCAATTGAACTTTATCATTGAAATCACAACTCTGTAACGTGTTGTTTGATTTGCAGATGACAAAAGACTGGCCAAACGTTTCGTTTATGACTTCGTGGTGTGTTTTTCCAAAGAAAATCAATTTAAATAATCATTATATCCACATACGTACTGTCTTTAGCATATCTTGATTTGTTTCGTCACCTCGTCCATAAATAGATCAATTACGCCTTTTCTTCACTTCGATGAGGATTTTATTTTCCATCGATGGACAATTTCAGAAATTGTTCCCAGAAATTGGAAATTGAATTTCTAGATGACATCTGCTTGAATTGAAATACGAATAGAAATCGTCATGGATATTTCCCAACCAATTTGAATTATCTAAAATGTCTTAATTGCATTAATTTTTACTATTTAGAAAAAACCAAATCTCATGGTCGCTTGAAATGTTTATTTTTATTCAAAACAGTTGTTTCGACACGCGCGTCCGCGTTGTGTCGTGTTCAGTTGATTGATTGGAGTTGATTATTTATTCAGAGGCCAATATGGTTTCTTTTCAGATCTTTAAATTGGTACTACGCATCATGGGTGAAGTGAGAATGGATTTCAATGATTAATAGAAAAGATTCTCCATAAAATATTTCAGATTAAATTCACACAACCATCAGAACGCTATCTGTGCCATAGAAAATATTTCCGACACGTTTTGTTGTTTGTGTTAATTTACTCTGCCATATTTGTTGGAGCAACTGCACGCTGATATAGTATACACACGATAAATTGTCCTGACCGGATATAAAAAGTCCTTGGTAACATGAAACAGAAGAGCAGCATTCGTCTTAAATGCGTATTAATTGGATGAGACTCTTGGAACCCTTGGAGTGGTTCAATGCCCACAAACTCGAGACGTGTTCGAGTAAAATAATAATTTTATTTTGTAGATTTTAAATTGGTATTCAGTAAGATGCAATTCACGATTGGAAATTTCTATTATATCGTTTCATTTAAATAATTCGAGTCTTTTTCCTATTTTTTCCAACAAATTCAAATATTTTTTTAAATTTATATTTCACTTTTGCGCGAACGTTTACAGAATATTTTGGGCAATTGTGTAAAAAACACTAATTTTGCCCACTTATTTTAACAAATAAATAGTTTTTGTTTGAATATTGTGATTTTTACGAATAAACCGTAAATACTGTGGAACTGATGTGTTCACTATTGCACTTTCATGAAGTCAATGTGCATATTGGTGAACCGGTGTTTAGTTTTTTTTCGACTTTCGCTCGTTTCCTATCTTAAATACTAATTTGATTGTCGATAAACGAGGCACAATATTTTATATGTGTGGAGAAGCCTCCGAGTCCATGCTTATCTACTAATTTCCCGATGTCCAATAGTACAGCGTATTTCCTCAATCGATTGATTTAATTTTCCACGTCAACGATACTTCGTCACTGCATTGAAGGTACAACCCATAGACAGTAAAGACATTGAAAATATGCACAACGTTTAATCTAGTTTGAGTCAATAGATCATTGATAATTACACACATTTTCATTTCCTTGAAATGACTTCGAATTACTTGAAGTTTAAAGCCGAATTTTCCTATTTGGCGAATGAGATTTTAAAAATCATTTTGACAAATAAATTACTCAATTAGTTAGTTGGAATATTCAATTTATTTGAAAAAGAACATGAATGTTTTTGATTAATTCTCAAACGCCTGTAATCTATTACAATTTCGCGTTTTGGTGTTCATTTATGAAGATTTTAGACGTTAGCGGGGACTGTTGAATCTTCGCCAAAGGATGTTGAGTCTTCGCCAAAAGATGTTGAGTCTTCACCAAAAGATGTTGAGTCTTCACCAGCTGGTGTTGTCATTGGACCTGGTACAGAATGACATTTTTGATACGTTTTTAATATGTTATTGCCCGACATATTTATTATTATGTTATTAAGTATAGTTGATAATATGTGATTGTTCGTAAATCTTTACCTGGTGGGCTTGGTGGGTCTTGTGGCAAAGCGCTAATAAAAGCAGCGAAAACAACGAGAAGAGCAACAAAGATTGCGAATTTCATCTTGAACTAAATTGATTGAACTTAATTGATTGCACAACAAATTTCGAATGATTACCCAATGGATTCGACGGTCTTTTATATTCCTCGGTCACCAGAAGTAAAATAGTGTACGTGCTTCAATCGCTTATCGTTCGAATATCTTCCAAAATTTAGTTTGCAAACACCGGACATCTTCAAAAAAAAAATTGAAAATAGACTTTGAATAAATATTTCAGTTCAACAATAATTTTGCTTTACAGCTTTGGACATGTATCCATTTTCGCTTAATTTGGAACGCTTGTATGAATAGATAACAAATTCATGACACGTGTCGATCAATTTATAACATTTCCTTTTGATTATTCCATATGGGTTCACATTTTAATTTAGTTCAATGCAATTTGTTCAAAAGCAAGCACGTTTTACTAAAATGGACACTAAATTTAGAACATTCAACAATACAAAACACACATGAACAAACAAACACGCATTGCAATTGAATAAATTCAAACAGAAATTTATTCTACTAATGTTTGCAATGTCTGTTCTGAACGATAAGCAAATCGAAAAAATATTAAATTGCATGATATTTTGACGTGTAAGCAGTTCAATCTTGGTTCCGAGAATTGATTGGATTTTGTTGCATTTTCTGCGAATTTTGAGACGTAAATAGAGTCAGTGAAAAATATCGTTTTAACTAAAGGTACATAAACGTTATTGCAACAAAACAAATGTAACAAAACATGAATAATTGCAATAAGCAACACTCTTAGAATGGCCACACGTGTTGCGTATTCCAATTAATCAAATGTCAGGCGAATGTCTAAATCTGTGTTGAATTCGGATAAATAAATCATTCGAATTAATTTTCATCATTTTTAGCACCTTTGTACGCTACCTTTCAGTGCGATATCTCTTTCGAAATGTCTTCAAATCCATTCAGTTGCTACGCTCTCAATTCAAAGGTCGATTACAATGATGCGGATATAAATTGCACTCTATTCAAATTGTCTTGAATTCTGAGCTGAAAGAAACTGGTATTTTCATTGAGCTGTTCGTGTGTGTGTGTGTGTGTGTGCGATAGACGATTAGCTGAATGGGATCCATTCACCGCGATGGCAATTGTCTTGTTGGTTTTATTTCGAGAATGTGCGTTGTGTCTCCTGGGTTCATCCGTTCATTGTTGATGGTTTCATTTTTACCTGATCGTGACCAGCAATAAGTGTGTTGGTTTTTTTTAAACTCCGTATGTTTTGTCCCATTCTTACCGTAAGCATTTCGAGTGCTATTTTGACGTTGGTTTTTGTGTGTCACCATGAATTCGTTTGCAACTGTAGCAATCGAAATTGTTGCAACAAAGCTGACGAAGATACTATTTGAAAATATATTACTTCCGTTTTGGAAGTCAGCACAAAAGATGGAATCAAATGGGTCAGTGAGATTCAACAACATTTTTTCTCCATTGAAATGTAGCAAAGACCACATAAATTTTGGTCTTTAAAAATAATGCCAAAGGAAATAAGTGGTCGCATCAGTATAAATCAAAAACACTAAGTACTCCAATCAACAGAATGTCTTTCAACAAATTGACCCACGCATTCGAAACCAAATCGGATATCAATTACACGGCAAGAAATATCACGACATACACACACAAAACAGACAACGAACAATCGAAATTTATTGCTTGGCCAAGGAACCAACTGTTCGTTGTTGTTATTATTATTATTTACAAGAGTTAATACTTCTGTTCTTCTACTGACCGAAATCGGAAATGTATGTTTGCCCATAAATAAAAGCGGACCATCTTTTCTAAAGAATGGCATTTTCAGTTTGAAAAGAAGACGATCACCTCTCAATTGACCGTATTTTCGAGATAGAAATGTTTATTTTTGGCTTTTCAGAGTCAAAAAATAGGACTTTACTATGGATTTTAATCACCACCCATGGAATGTTGGTCTATTTTTTTTTCCTGCATGTGTAAGCGTTGCACTCAACGCCGGGTCCTTCAACAAATATAGCCATTTTCCAGTACATTCTCGAGGCTAAATTATTTGATTGATATGCATTATTTCGTTACATACATATCTACGTATTTGAACATGACTCGCTGAATGCTTTAGTTTTATTACGTTTTCATGAAATGTTAAAAACGAAATTGTTATTTTCTCGGACATTGAATACATTTTTAGGCATGGACAAGAGCAGACAAGTGTTGTTGTTTTTTTTTTCGTATGAAGATATTTTTAATAAAGATATTTATTTTTGATATCTGTTCATTTTTAATGATTGGCAGCCGTGCAGAAACAGACAAGAAAAAAAAAACACAGACACAACGTGAATAGCTGTGCTCCGGTGAATGTAAAAAGAATTGAATAATTCAGTTAATCGATGTTTGGAAAATAAATATTTTTGATGGTTCATTGTTTGTTGACGTCGCTTTTTTTCGCTCACTCTTTGCTGTTTGTTAAAACGATGTTTCGACCAGAAAAAGTAGCCCCCGAATGAAAAAAAAGATGGAATATAAAATATTTGGCGAATGAATCGAAGTAAAAATAGAAAAATGGAAGTGGACGGCGAACGACTCAACCTTTTGTAAATTGATTTTGATTTTGACAGGGTTTTTTTCGTGTGTGTGTCGGCATTAATTCCCGAATGTGGCGCGATTCCGATCGAGAGGCAGGCGAATAAGAATGGGATGATGGTGTTGGTAAAAAAATCACAGTTCAACCAAACGAGCTAAAAAATGAACGATTGAAAAGCGGATACAATAATACGACGCGTTCACAAAAAAAGGAGAGAGAAAAAAACAAGGAAAATCGGTAAAATTTGTACAGGAAAAATGCAAACGATGTTTTTGTTGGTAATGCTGCTGGTTGGTTTTTGTTGTTGCTGCTACTGCTGTTGCTGCTGTTGCGGCTGCTGCTGCTGTTTTTTTGTCTCTGTGCGTTTCAGATGTCGAATGTTGTTCTTTAATGTGTAGCTGGGGCAATGGAATTTATAGTTGTTTGGTATGCGAATATATGTGTTTGTATGCGATGGAATGGTTGACGACTTCGCTGGAGCCATGTGTGTATGCGGTTTCGTATATATTCCAAATGTATTTTGTTTCAGCGGCAGCAGCGAGAGAGATGCGATCCATCCTCGGTGGTTCATTCGCTTGCTCACTCGCGCGCGCCTCCTCGTTCACCGGACCAATACACGGCAATAAATTATTAATACACATTCGCGTTTATGATTCGCGCGAGTGTGTGAGCGTGTGTGTTTGCGTTGGCTTTTTTCTTTTCGGTGGGCTACGTTTTTTTTCTCGGTTAGTACCTACAATTTTTCATGATTTTTACATTCTCGCTTTGCATTTTTTTTTTCTGATACGGACTCTTTTTATTGGTTCGTCTATTTTTATTTTTCAATGTTGGTTGTAACCAGTTTTTTTTATTCTTCTGTCTTCGATTTTTCGTTGAGCCACGGGCTTATACGCACCAATTTCGATTTTTCACGTTGAAAAACCTCCAATAATAATTCACATGAAATATGAATGAAATCGAGAGAGAGAAAGAGAGAAAACATAAACGCAAATGCGGATGAAACGCGGGCAGCAATACGTAAACATTCGCTAAATTTAAAATATTAATGCCGGGAAAAAGCATATTCCTGCTGTAACAACGACAACATGGCCAGCTATTCGGCAAAACGCGAGAAATCCTTTTGTAACGATAAAGAGAGCGAACAGGAAAAAAATTGGCAAATTATAGCTATATACTCATTTCAACCTAGCGGAATATTTTCGTAAATATGAACAACGTGCTAGACAACAACCGCTTGGCAAGCGCAAAAAAAGCTACCAGTACAATGTGGTGGCATTGCTAATGGAAAATGAGCGCAAATACAAATCGTGCATGCAAAACGAAGAGAAAAAAAAACGCATCAGCATCGACGATGCATCGGCCAAATGAACGGGGGAAAAATGTATCTCAAGCATTAATGACGATTGGTTATTATTTTTTGTTGGCCATTCCGATTGAATTGCACATTCGTTTACCACTGATACGGCTTTACAAGTGAAATCGCTTCCGGCACACCAATCCATCCGAATAAATATTTATTTTTATTCATTTCGAAAAAATTTGTTTTCAACCAAACTGAAAATTTAATCACGATCGCTACTCTCGTTGTCGTTTTTTCTTCTGTATTTGTTGCTGCAACGTTCGCTTGATGCGGTCGTTAGAAGAGCACACACACCTAGAGGCTCTATTTATTGGATGCGTCATTGTTTTACAACTATTTTCTGCCGAAATGACCATATAGCTCATTCCGTTTTTATTTCCGAAAAATAAAGTCATCATGAAATTAAATGGAAGACCATAGCAAACCGAAATGACTTTTGGTTTTATGGCAAACTGTACGATGTACGTTGGCTATTGGCAATAATAATATGCAAAAATGCGTTCACATTACCTTCTATTACATGTCGCTTGACCTTTTCATGCATTTTGGTGTGGGCATTTACATAAAATGCATCTGGTTGACTCAGGTACGAAATGGAACGCAAAGTGAAATGACTTTGCTCTCATTTTTTTTTCTTCTTTCATTTTAACAGCATCTAAGTGCAGTCACACACACACGTATATAGAGCACATACACAAAAAATGTGACATAGAAATGCATGTATTTTTCCTTGTCCGTTATGATTTGGCTAGCACCGATTTTATTGCTTTCTTCTTTTGGTATCTTTGCTTTCATCTTCGTTTTTGGTCGAGAAACAATAACAACAACTCAGCAAAATTAGAACGAACAGGACAATTGACGCAATTAAATGGCCCAATTTCTCTTTGCGTTATGTTGTATGTGGTACCTTCGTAATTTTACGTCGTCGTTTCCTTCGTTATGTGTACGCTTTCTTTCTTACGTGAAATTATGCACTGTCCTTTTGGACTAATGATGCTCACACAAATTACACAATGTTATCGCAAAACCAAAACTAGAACTAGAGCGGCAATGACCAGAATAAACTATGCCTCAATTTCTCTTTACGGCCCAATAAACACTAGCAAATTGGGTCTTTCGCATGTTTTCACATTCGAACCGTAGTACCAAACAGCATTTGCTCGATGCATTTTCTGGAAGATATTCAACTGCTCTGATTTTTTACACACATTTTTGGCCCCGAATTTTATTGTTGTAGAGCATTTTTTCTGGTGCTCTCCGTTTTTTTTATTGACTCAAATGGTCGAAAACCGAAGCATTTCAAAGGAAAACCAAGAATTGCTTCAATTTTTGAACAAAAAAAAATTGTTTGAATTGTTTCAGATTGGTTCATTAGGACGAAATTGCTTTTGCTCTAGAATTCTAATTTTTTTATGTGCCGTTTTTTATGGATTTCATAGAAATGCTCTCATTTTTTAGCCACAAGAAAAAATGAAACACATTTTTTTTTCGGAAGTGCACTCATTTTCACATTGTTTTATTGCAAGAATATTGTATGAAACAAGAACTTGGAACTGCATGGTATTGAGAAACTTGAACTAATTTTCATTGTCTCATTCTTCGTCATCATAAACAACAGTCGGAAAAGTATTCACTTCATCGGTGATTGAAGTCAATACACTTTGATCGATGCCGTTTCCTTCGAGTGATATAAATTTTAAATTTGGTAATAACATTTTCAGTGCTTCACCACTCCAATTGAAATTATAATACAAATTGTTATCTAAACTCAATTCTTTTAATTTACTAAAAATTCCGAGGGATTGTAAATCCAAAGGGTTGCTCAAGTTGTTTTTATCCAAGTCCAGATATTGCAATTTCGATGTAGTTGGCGTGTGTTCATTTCGCGATTGTTTGGTTTTGTCAAATGAAAATGTGGTATTAATCAGCCTCAAGACGACTAACGATGGAAACTTGGCAAACTCATTCAAATCCAAATTGTCAATGTGATTATGATCCAAGTTGATATTCTTGATGCTCATCAAATTCTTCAGCGACTCATTGATGTCGGTTATTCGGTTTTCTCTAAGCGAAATATCTATCAAATTGATCAGCCCATGGAAAATGTCATCATACAATATTTCCAGTCGATTTTGTTGCAAATGAAGAAATTCTAATTCACTCAAGTCTTCGAACGCTCCACTTTCTATGACTCGAATCTTGTTTTCGTTGAGATTCAACACATGTAACACATTCAACCCGGATAGTGTGTGTCGTTTTATTGTTTCCAATTGATTTTTATGCAACTTCAAAGAGAACAAGTGGTTCAGTCCTTTGAATGCATAGTCATCAATCGTGGAAATTCGATTGGATTCAAACGACAAAAACGTCAGATTGTTGTTCAATGGGAAGATTCCAACGGGAATCAGAAGTAACTGGTTGGATATCATAAGCTGCGTCAAATTTGCAGCCAATTCAAGGTCAGTAGCAGTAATCGATGTCAATTTTGAATTAACACGAAGTGATTCCAAATGAGGAAACCAGTGAAATGCTTCAACAGGAACATGATCAATGCCTGGATCATCTGGTGGAGTTGAAATATCCAAGGTTTTGATTTTATCCGGGGAACCGTACGATTGTATGAATGTTAAATGTTCATTGATTTCAAGCAGCCGATCGATCCTTGTGATATAGCACGTGTTCATGCGATGGAATGGATGCGAACCAATTTGATTGTGACATGTTACATTTAAGCACTGTGAGATCGACACATTGGAAAGCAACAAATACCCGACGAATAAACGAAATCTGTGGGAGGAAATTAGAGGGTATGAGAATTTGTGTGGAAAGAGGAAAAAATCGCTTTAGATAGAAGAATAGACTACAGCCCACAATCAAACACTTAAAGTACTCAAAGTTCAAAAATTGCATAGCAAAAATACGCGAAATCTATTCGAAGGATTGATCAAGAATGAAATGTAATCAAATTGTTTCTGAGAGTAAAAAACCTTAAGCGAATGAAGTAAAATGTGGGAAAAAATCGGTTAATTAACTCACAAATGAAAATTCGTTGCCATTTCCGAATCAAATTCGTTGTATTTTTGTTGCTATTTTCTCACTTCACTGCTATTAACAGAATCAACTGCCCCCGGTCGAGATGTGTGGTTTTGTTTATGGGTGGCCGTCTACAGCTTGTCAGTGTGACCTTTGAATTGATTATTGGTTTGAAATTATCTACCGATGTTAAAAATAGGATTTGTGTTCCATTCGGCCAAAAATGCCGCAAATGCATAAACATCGGTATGATTAACTGCAAAATATTGTGTGTGAGTGATGTCATGCGCAAAAAGCGGTAAGGAAAAGAACCATTTTTTATCTCGTGAGCCTCAGAAACAGTAAATAAGCAGTTTATTGTTTTTTTTTTTTGCAACATTCCAAAGTGATAACAAAATGCACATAGTCATTGACTTGAGCAGTTGAATCATGCGTCGGTGATAATAAAACGTTTGCAAAAAAAGCGTATCTGCTTCCATCCTTTTTATCTCATTTTACCACCCTTCGAAGGCTATCGGCTTTATTTATGAATTTATGCATTCTCTCTGGTTTTGCGTTGTAACGGATGCATTGCAAAAAATGTCAAAAAACGAATTTGCAATGGAAATGTTTCGTTGCCTGCGTTTCTTTGTTTTTCTCTATTTTTCTCCACATTGTTTTTTTCTATTGCTGAAGAATTTTATGGGTTGAATAGCTATGGACGTATCGCACTCTTTATCGCTCTATGAACGAAACTGAAAGAAAATGAAGAATATTTTTTTTGCACATAAACCGTAAACGAGTACCTTTCTCTAGGTTGTGTAAAAAAAATGCAAAGATAAGAAAGTTGGGTTTTGCACCGAAGAAAGTGCATGCAAACCAAATGTGTCATAAAAAAGTATACAACGGAGAGTTTGCCAAAAAAGTGAACCTTCTTTCGATAACAGTATTACGTGTGCATTGCACAACAAACAATTGTTCGTTTTGCGTCAACCGCTAGAAAAGGTTGTGTGCAAAATTTTACAACTTCACCGATAAAATTACAGTTTTAGAAAAGTGCCGAAAAAAAATCTGCAACAAAACGAAGAATGCTTGCAAACCGATCGGTTTTACAATCCGGCGAAAACACAACATTGTTTGCTGAAAGCAACAACAAAAGCATGCGTTTTGCACACAAGTTCATACGAGAAAAAAAACCAACAGCAACAGCATAAATGGACTCAGTTGTTATTATTGGCATTCTTATTGTTGGTTTTCAAATCCAGGAAAAACGGTCGATATAAAACCGTAAAAATAAACACAATTTATTGCATACAAATGAAGTTATTTCATGGAAATAGAAACAATGAAAATCATTTGAAATGTGCGAAGTGTACGGAACAAAGGAGATTACGCTTTGGATTTGATGGAAATGAGGAGAAAAAAGCGAAAACAAAGTGTATACATTTTCTGCTGTTTGACATTTAAGAGCTTTGGTTAAAATATGCACGAGCGTGTGGTTGGTCAGATAACGTCTTTTTTTTTAAACAAACAAAAAATGAAACACCGAGGCTACCCCAATAAATTAATAGCCGTTCATGATTTATCAGTGCGTGAACAGACGCTTCACTGAACTCTTCCGCAACGTATGATTACTTTGACGCATTTGACTGTGAACCGTTTGCGATTAACAGAGTAAAATTCGACGAACTGAATTTGAAAAAAAAAACATGTGTGGCTTGGCTCTTGAATAACAATATCTTGAATTCAGGATGCGATACAAAACGGTCAATAGTGGAGAAATCGATGAAAAACAATAACACGTGAAATGAACAACCGTTGACGAAAACGAAATAATTCCAATGTGAATTGGTTCCAGAAGACGGAAACGGTCGTTTTGTGGGCAACAATTTTTTCTACCGGAATTTGATGATTCTTTCGATTTACACGTTTGCGACCAATAGAAGGTCACTTTTGACACCAAAAGGAACAAGACACTTTTAAGAAGATTTTTTTGCCTATCAATAATTTTTTTACATCTCTGTTTTTATAAAAAATTTATGTGATCATACGAAAATCCTATTTCCCCAATAATTCCAAAGAAACGTTTCCACAATCACAAAAAACATCATCAAAAAATGATATTTCGTTACTTTCAACTCCATTTCCTTTTCATTTCTTTCAAACGAAAAAAAATGCACCTGAAAATGAATTGCAAAAATATCGTGTGAAAATATTTGACAATCAATCAAATGCGCTGGCAAAACAGAAAACGTCATCGAATGGAAGGATAACATTTGCTGTAACAAGGAAACAAACTGAAAACTAACCACAATATACAATTGTCTTGTTAAAAATTGTTCAAATCGTTCATTTTCTGCTTCGAATGTTGTTTAATAAACATTCGATTTTCTCATCGAATCGGCCATTGCTTCAATTGCTTTACACTTCGATTCGGTTTGTCCTGCATTGACAAAAAAAAAACCAACAACAGTGAATCGTTTGGGTTGGTGTCAAAAGGATAAATAATTGCTAAAAATAAAATTGCGTCAAAAATCACATTCTTTTTTGCCGCATGTGTCCGAACGGAGTTTCACAGTGGTTTTTGGAAATGTGTGCACGAGTATGTGTGTCCATCCGAGTGTCGGTGTTGGTCGTGTGTTCATGGCGCGATTTTAAAAACCACAGCCACAGCGTACGATAATTTGTTAGTATTTTGTTGTTGTTGCCATTGTCATCGTCGATTTTTTTTTCCTCCGAATTTCGTTATTGTGTGAGTTTTTTTTTTCGTGTGCACTTTGAGTTGCAATTCTCATTCTTTCATTCGTATGAATGATGGCCTGCATTTTTGTAACAATGTGCGTTTGTCTGTGTCCGCACCATGTGTATTTATGTGTGGGTAGACAAAAAGATTTGCGAATGCGACACCCAAAGCAACAAACAACGGCCATAAAAATGCTTGAACCCAGAAAATCCAAAGCGAAACAAGCACCAGGTCCAAAAGTGCGAAAAGGGAAACACCGAACAAAATATGCAATTGTAAAATGTGTAGCTATTTCGGAACTGGTGACGATACGTGGTTGAAAACACAGACACACTAACAACTGAGAGTGCAGTTTGTGGATATTTTGGTTCGCTTGAATGTGTGTGTGTGTTTGCGCGAGGGTTTTGTGCGTTGCTCACACAATTTTTATATCATTTGTTTTCGTTTACTCCACCAACCGCCGCTAATTTGTTGTTCGACATTTGTTTCGCACATTTTTACTATCGGCTTTCCAGTTTTTTCGTCCACACATTCACGATAAAAATGCCAGCCACACATGCAACAACACGATTTGCATTTGATTGCAGCCACTGTTGCCCGTTGCCATTCTTTCTCTAGTTTTTTTTTCTCGCTGTTGCTTTAATTATTGATTGTTGCCGAATTTTCGGGGTTTTGTTTTAAAACGGAAGCAAATCGGTTTTTGGATTGGATTTATTGGAGAATCTACGCTGAAAAAATGCGGTGCAAACTGCGTACGCACTTCGGTGTGTTTGGCGCGTTAGCAGAAAACAAATCATGATGCCAAAGCGTCCAACTATTGGAATATTTTTGAACATATTTGTTTGTTGCCTTTTGTAGTACTCTTCAACAGTTTCACCTTTGTATGGCGAACGAGATCGACTATTTTTGTTTTTGACTTTTTTTCATGATGTTTTCTCGTTGTTATTATTGATCTAAATTGATTCTGTTTTTCCAAAAGCACGTGAAATATCAATTTTTTACGATTTTCCTCTCTTTTTCCTTCTCTTTCACACATACACACATTCTCTCTGTGTCTCTCTGTTGCTGTCGTTCCCTTGCTGCTTTTACTCTTACCGCCTTTCTATTTATATCCTCATTCTCGCTCTCGCTCTTGCTCCGTTTATTCTATTCAATCATGAATAGGATAGTTTCCAAATGCAAATTCCAAATCGATTAATCCAATAGATCCGAATGAAAAATAAAGCGTCGAATGCTTCGAATGAATGCGTTTCCATTTTTTTTTATTCACACAAAATGCAAAATAAAGCCAAAAGGAAATTGTATGTTAAAAGTGTAATACCGTTTGTTTGCGTTTGTGATTGCAACCGTACTTTTGATGGATCCGATGATTAATTAGAAACTAGTTTGCATGGGTTTTTATTCCGTTGTTTGTCTTTTTTTACGCATTGTGATTTATATTTTATTTGGTTCTTTATACGGGTTCTGGAATATAGTGAAACCTGTTTGGTAGCATTTGGGCTTGGTTAATTTGCCGCTGCCGCCGCCGCACCAGAGATTTAATCCAATCTCATTTTACAAAATATTTTTTATGCGTAAGCGTGTCTGTGCCTACCTATGCATGTTCTGGTTTGACGATGTATAAAATTGGTGTAATCTCTATCGTAAGCTAGGCAATCAATCATTCGATGGAATTAACAAATAGAAAATTATGCGATTTAAAGGGTTGAAAATGGTGTTTTGCGTGTGTGTACGTTTTTTCTATTTCTCGGTGAATTATTCGGATTTTTCCAGTGAATAAAATAAATTCTAAACTTAAAAAAGGGACCAGGGAGAGCAACAAGAAAGTTGGATTTTGTGCTTTGCAATCATGGACCATCAGACATTCAATTAAAACACTGTTACGCCTATTCAAAAACACCCATCCGCTCGATTGGTTCTGCGTATGTCGATTCGATGCTGTTTTCCTGACCGAAAAAAAAAACGGGCGACCAAAAGTGTGTGATGGTCATAAAAAATAATTTATGAACAATCAAAAAGCTAGAGAAAATTCCCTTTTCCGCATAAAAACTCTTTTTCATATCAGATTGTTTTTTTTGTTTCGCCTTCGCATCTCTTCAAAACATTATTTATTACCAACATTTCACCCCAAATTTTTGTCAACACTGAGTCGAATCGTCGACAATTCGACAGTAGCAAGTAGCTAATAAGGTCGCTTCAATCTCACTCGGTGCCTTTTTGATGCTCCCTGCCAAGAAACAAAAGCCAACCGATGAAACTGATTTGTTCCTTCGGCATAATTTTATCTCGCCTATTCAACGGTTACAACATGTGCATTAAATTAAAATGGAATGGAAACATTCGAATGGTTTCGAACGCAAAAATTGTTCACATTGCCCACATCCACAACACATTTATTATGGCCA